TTGTCACTTATACTGCACTGGCTGATGGGCTTTGTAAAAAAGGTGAGCTTGATATGGCAACTGATCTTCTTCAGGAGATGTGTGGGAAGGGACTTGAGCTGAACAGTTATACTTACAATTCACTCATCAATGGTTTTTGCAAAGCTGGAAATATTTCCCAAGCACTAAACGTGATGAAAGATATGGAGGCTTGTGGCGTGCTACCTGACAGTTTTTCCTACACTACATTAATGGATGCTTATTGTAAATCTGGAGAAATGGCCAAGGCACACGATCTTCTTCGTGATATGCTGTCCAGAGGGATTGAGCCCACAATAGTGACATTCAATGTTCTGATCAATGGGTTTTGTGCCTCTGGGAGGCTCGAAGAGGGCGAGGAACTCATGGGATGGATGATGGAGAAAGGCATAATGCCAAACACAACCACTTACAATTCTCTAATGAAGCAACACTGCATCAGGAACAATGTCCGTGTCGCATCAGAGATTTGCAAGGGAATGGCCAAAAAAGGAGTTATGTTGGACTGTAATTCGTATAACATCTTGATAAGAGGACATTGCAAGGCTCGGAATATGAAGGAAGCTTGGTTTTTACATAAGGAAATGGTTGAGAAGGGATATAAACCAACAGTCGACACTTATCACGCACTCATTCAGGGTTTCTTGAAAAGAAAGAAGTTTTCTGAAGCCAAAGTTTTCTTCGAAGAGATGAGGAGAGAGGGATTGAGTGTAGATAAGAAACTATACTGCATATTCACAGACATGCAGTTTGAGGAAGGAGAGATTGATAAGGCTCTTGAGCTCTGTGATGAAGCAATAGAAAAAAGTGTCTCGTAAATGAAACTAAACGTCCTCCCGGATCTTAGTTTTTTGTGGGATTTTACTGGGTTTGTTTGTTGTTGTCGACTTTGGTTTTGTTCTTTTCAGTTGCAAACGATGTTGGAAGAAACTGGAAAGAGTTGGAAGAAAATATGTGTTTGACGTGGTTGGAGAAGAGTTGGAAAGTGCTGCTAGAATATTTTTGGGTGGCATGCAGACTTCACATTTGTTTCTAGACTCTAGAGTAAATGATGCTTTAAGTAGTAAAATACAAATTTGCCCTTGAAGTCCTGTGGTTGTTCCGGACGGGGGGGCGCGGGTGATGATAGGGATGGGCTATGAAATTCCCATCTAAAAGAAGCACTCTATAGGAAGAAGGTCCACAAACATATTCTCCCTCTTTATTATTCTCTTATTACAAATAATGGACGAAATCAAAATGAGACATTAAACTCCGCTTGCTTCGCACTTTATACGAAGCAGTAAATGCAACATTATTAGCATTAATAGTAGTCTAACTGAAGTAGTCTCTTTTTTTATATTTTGCAGGGGTAAGACGGCGTACATATTGGCTTTTAGAGTTCCGAGCCCCAATGTATTTTTACGTGCTCCGCTCGAGGTGATGTTTTTAGCACTATTAACTCTATTACAATATAGCATTTGTCATAGTTTCTCAAAAAATTGAAGGATAAAGGCACTATCCTACAAGTTCAAATTCCAATACAGAGAGTCAAAGATATACTGTTTGATCACATTTTTTTTTTGCCAAAGGTGATTTTTTAAAAAAATATAATACAAAGAGTCCTTTTATATTATTCCAATACATATGCACATGGAAGACAAAAGTTGTAGGGGAAGTTTCTTTCAAGAAAGTTGGGTATATATTCGATCATTGGAATACATATATTGACAAAGAGTTTTAAAACTTTTCAAACCATTTCTATCTGTATTATTTAATGGAAAAAGAAGCTAAGAGCACTCAAGCTGGAAATGATGCTTGCTAATATAATGGTGCTTAATTTTTTTTTTTTGAAAAGACCCTAAGGTGCTTACCTCCACCTTTATCCTTTTTTAAATTGTCAAATTTCATTTTTTTTTCCTTTTTTAAAGTGTTCCTTATTAGTTGTCTTTAGATTTAAGAGAAATATTCACTACAAAAAAAACGCGGAATTGGCACGGCTTTTTGGCACGGACTGTAGTTTAAGTTTTACGTGACTAAGGTATTAGGCACAGATTTTGGCACGGACACGAAACGCTGCCAATTTCGAAGCTCCAAACCATATGGCACGAAAATCCAGTCCGTGCCAAATATAGAGACGGCGTCACTCGTGACAAAATCGTTCCAAATTGACGGTTGTAAGAAAAACGTTAAAGATATTAGGGACGGATATGTCCGTTTCAAAATTGTGTTCTTACAAATATAACATAAGTCACGGATATATCCGTGCCTTTATTTTGAAAATTTTCAAAATATTCAAAAATTTTCAAAAAATTCAAATACGCGAGGAGATTAAATTTCGAAATTCAAATATTTTTCCACAGACATATCCGTGCCGTGGATTTTTTAAAAAAAAAATATTTTTTGCCACGGATTTATCCGTGCCTTAGATTTCGAAAAATTAAAAAAAACAATTTTGAAAATAAAAATTAATAATACATAACATGCAATAATTTAAATACAGAATAAATCACTCACAGCATAATAATGTAGATTAATAAAAGTAATATCTATAATGAAAGTAATGTCTAGCATCCAAATGAAGATCATCACAGACAAATGTTAATGATGAATAATTACAGATTTTCATTGTTTAGAAAATTGTTAACACCACAGTTATTTGAATTGTGTCCTTCCGGTTGAACGTTTGGCATTTGGGGGAGGACCATAGGTTGTTGAAAAATAGGCATGGGAGAAGGCAAAACCCGCGGGAATTAAAGGTGCTCCTCATGACTTTGTCTGTGTCCACCGGCAAAACCCGAGCAACCATGTGTAACAAAGCTATAAATGTAATAAACAATAAATTAGTATTGAAATAAATTAGTATTGTGTTTAGGACAGCTTGTTGGCTGGAAAAAATTAAAAAAAATTAAAAAATCATACAAATAATATATGAGATAATGAAAAACAAAAAATTACCCCTTCAATTCGGCTTTAGTGATCAAGCGCGTAAGATCCTCCTTTGCCGCCTCCTCCGCCCTCGACCTCAGCCTCCAAGTCGTCACCGGCATTGAATATGGACTGCGGGGTAGTGGTAGATGGCGATTTCGGTGGTGCTCGAGAGTGAGAACGCTGAAAGCTTCCCCTACCGCGAATACTACCGCGGAAGGAAGTGCTCCTTGCTGAAGACATTGAAAGGAGAAGAGGTTATGCGGGAGGAGGGCGGAGGAGGGAGGAGGACGGAGGAGGGATGGCGGCAAAGAAAGAGATAAGAAGAGGAGAGTGGTTAATGAAAAATACGAGAAAAAACATGCAAGGGGTGGTAATATAATTAAACCGTAGGCACGAACGTAAGCACGTCCCCAACCGTGCCTATACCGTGCAGTAAATATCGGATTCTTGGGTAATGGTGTAGGCACGGCCGTTGTCGTGCCAAATTTCAATATCTCTGCGTGTGTCAGGCTTTTTGTGTGAGATCCATTCTAGGCACGGCTTTTTCCGTGCCTACTAGAGGGCATTAAACACGACAATTTTTGGTAATTGCATAGGCACGGCCCTGTCCGTGCCAAACAAAATGAGTTCTTCGTTTGTAGGGGTGCATTAATAGCATGTCAAAAAAACGAATTTATTGGGCTTGTATGTAGGCACGGCGGTTTCCGTGCCAAATTAAATGCCTCTGCAAGTGTGTCAGGCTTTTGTCTAGGATCGAAATTAGGCACGGCTATTTCCGTGACAAAATAGTCTTGTCCTTTCCGATTTTGAATTTTATGAGAAAGGTAGGGAATTGGAACAACTAAATCCGTGCCTATTGGTTAGAATAAACGCCGTCCGACAACACCGTTAACTTCTTAACGTTTACGCTATTGGCACGACATTTGGCACGGAAAAATGCTAAGCCAAATTGAAACGCAAATAGAAACACGCCATGTGGCTACTTTCTTTTTTTCGGCGTAGTCACGGCATGTCCGTGCCTAATATTCCGTGCCAATTCCGGGAGTTTTTTGTAGTGAAATTTGCGTGGTCCATAAAATAATGTATAAATAGAACAATTTATAAAATAGAACAATTTAAAAGGCACGGAGGAAGTAACAAGAGCCACATAAATTAATAATAATAATAATAATAATAATAATAATAATAATAATAATCATAATACGGTGGGGTTCTGGTGCCATTGGAGTACGGTGCCACTGGCATTTTGGGGCACCTCCGGTGCTCCGTTCGCAAAATTGACGGTTCCTATCACCCTAACCCACCCCCTAAACCCCCCACCCTACCCCGCCCCTGCACCCCAATCCCGCCATAAGCCCCCACAAAATGTGTGGTTATTATGCGTTCATAATAGCCACACATTTTGTGGGGGGCTTACAGCGGGGTTGGGGTGGGGGTGCAGGGGCGGAGGTGCCCCAAAATGCCAGTGGCACCGGAGTGGCACCGTACTCCAGTGGCACTAGAACCCCACCGATAATAATAATAATAATAATAATAATAATAATAATAAGAAAAAGAACAACAATAATTTCTTCTTCCCGCTTTGTTTTTTTACGGTCCATTGTTACAAACTTTGATCAAGATTTAATTGAAGAGTACACTTGTGATTTTAAGATCATAGGGTCCACATGTGAAATATGATTTTTTTCACATTTTTAGTGGGCCGACATGTGGACTTCAAGACCACAAAAGAACTTGACTTAATTGAAATATGTCATCCGTCCCATAAAAAAAAGCACACTTTTCCCTTTTTTAGACGTTTAAAACAAACTTGACACTTCTTCTATCTCTCTTGAATAAATAAAAATGTGGCTCTTCAGGTTTTTTCTTAAAAACTTTCCAATGAGATCAAATCATATTATGAAAATTGTTTCACAAGAGATGTTTTGCAAAATATTACGGAGTATAATGTAATTAAATTTTAATTATTTTTTTCTAATTTACTTTGTTAGGTATCAAACGTCCAATTTTTCACAAATATCAAATCAAACAAACTCAATGAATGGGAAGGATTAATAATTAGGAGACATAAAGAGAACAACAAAAAGCAACACTAAAATAATTAGAATATAATGCAACATTTTAGAAAAGCATCCAATAATGAACAATTGAGCTGGTCAATTCATAATGCTGAATTATGCAATCAATTAAGTTAAATTAATGGTTGATCACAGCTTGTAGCCTACTTCATTTTGGACTATAATGAACAATCCCATAATCACAACCAGCAAAATTCCTGCAAAAACAAATGGATTAAATTAGTTTATTAGACTCAAGGCTAAGCATATCTGTGTGTGTGTACTTCAACACTACACATGACACTAAATTTGACACCATTGCATCTTGCAGGCACACACAAACGTACACGGAGTATTCTCTTTGTGTGTGCCAAATCCGGTTTGACACTGGCCAACGGTGCTACTCCGGTGCCATTGAGTTTTTGGAGCACATCCGGGGCTCTGTTGGTAAAACAGATGTGGATGATGGGTTATGGGTAGGAATCATCAATTTCACAAACGGAGCAGTGTTCAATAATCATTGTTTCTAGAAAATGCAACTTTGTCACTAGAGATGACATCAAGATTGACAATATTAGAGACAATCACCCACAATGTCATCCACTTTAGTATGACAATACACACCTGTATTCCAAGGGGAAATGGTGAAGCCATTGCTCCAAGAACTTAGGAAACAATGGGAGCTAGTGTTGAAGCCACCTGGACAGTTACACAAGAACGATTTATACGGGATGGAGTACCCGCAAACGCCGCTACTCTTCTCACAGGCATCGCACAGATCTGGGTAATCGTTCCGGTAATTGAACTTATACTTCAACGCTATCCCGTACTTCCATCCCCCAGCTGCCCCCGCTTCGCCGCCGTACATGGACGAGTAGCCGGTGCACCCCAGCTTTGGCAAGTCCATCTCGAACGCCGGCCCCAGGTCCACCGGCGCGTACACGCAGCAACCGCCGGAGAGTTGGAGGTCGCTTGCTTTGCTGGTGGTGATGGGTTGCTGGCAAGAGGTCAGGATGTCACAGATCGGGGCTGCCAGCGCATCACACTCCGGAGTTGACGAATTTGCCCCTCCCGTGCATCCTAATAATAATATGAATTAAACTACTTATACACCAAAATTTATACCTCAATTTATATACAACATATATGCACGTTCATTTTGTGTCTGTGTGATACCAATGTGATGGTTCACACATGCACAAAATGCTAGTGCAAAATGTTTTGATCGCAGTAATATATTGTGCTAGTGTGAATCATCAAAATGTTAGTTCATATATTTGGTATAGACTTTGGGATACCCTTCTTGGGGTACCCTAGCATGGTGTAATAATATTACCGATAACTGTATTCTTTTAGTTTGAAAATAGTTTCACCTTTGTTTTTTACACATCTCACAAAATATTTCTACCCCACTTAAAATGTCTAAAATACAAACTATTTCTCCTTTGTGAAATTTGCACTAAATAGAACTAAAACATCAGTCATTTCCTTATGTAGGACTTAAACTTTTTTATTCCCTAAATAGTACTTAATAATGTCTAGTATGAGGAATAATGTCCTGTGATGGTGGACATTTACTTGAATAATGACTAATGGATAATGACCAATGGTCCTACATTGAGAAATAAAAAACATATGGTCCTATATTAAGAAACTCATTATGTTTTAGTCCTATTTAGGTAAATTAAAATTATCCCGTGCAAAAAATAGAGGTGAAAGTGTTTTTTCAAATGGGTGGAGTCTTAAACTTTAGGACGACGCAGAGATCGGAGTAGTAATAATATTACCTAGGAGGGCGACGGCAGTGTCGTCGTGGAAGGAGAAAGGGGCGTCGGAGTCGAGGCCGAACCCGGGGCTGGTTCGGGTGCAGGAGCAGGTGGAGAGGGAAGGGTCAGAAATGTAAATTACTTGGGTTTGGTAGTCGACGGAGGAGACGGGGTAGCAGCCGGTGTGGGTGGCGAACGTCAGGACCTGTTGTTGGACGTCGCAGGTGACGTGGGGCTGGAACCGGGGGTCGCCGCAACCTGGACCGGTCCCGAACGGGTATTTGATCAGCTGGCTCCCGCAGGTTTTCTGGCAAGCCAGGGATGATACTATGATGGCATGATTCATAATAATAATAATAACAATGGAAATAGTGAAGAAGAAGAAAGAGTTGGTCATCATCTTAGCTTCTTCATTTCGCCTTCAAGAATGAACGTGTATATATATATATATATATACACACACACACACACACACAATCACTAATGGGCCTATCTCAAAGGACAAACTCAAACTAAAAGTTAAAGTTCGTGGTGGTTGGCCCAATAAAATTTAAGAATGAACTTCATCTCCGAAGGTTCCTTCAGATTCAGTTGGACGGTCACTAAAAGAAGGTAAACTAGATTTTAATTGCAGATTGGTGTTAGATAGTGGAGCATGTACCTGGTGGTATTCGCAGAGACTCTATGCTTAGCATAGTTGTCCCAGTATAGTTGTCAGGAATCGAACTCAGATCTAATCATTGACAACATGTACGTCTCTCTAAATTACTTAAGTTTACTACAGAAAAACTAAATGATGCTCTAATTAACATGTCCCAGTAAAAATTGTTGCCCCATTATATATTTACTCTAACATGTCTTTTCACGGTCTTTTAGACCTTGAGACCATGTTAAAGAACGTATTCAACTGAATGTTCAAGTTTGTGTTTTAGGTTCGGCAAAGGTTTTATATCTAACAAATGAGTTTAAATAAAAAAGATGTTGAGAATAAAAAAATGTGTTCAAAAAAAGAAAAATATTATGAGCTGCTTATTCCTTTTTGAATTATCTTAAAAACGTACTCCCTCCGTCCCAAATTATAATGCCTGTTTACTATTCACATGGTCAAACTTCATTCACTTTCTTTCTCTATTTTCGTTAGCAATTTGATAAAATAAAATATTATTGTCACTACTAGTTTTGTAGATCTTTTGATATAGTTTTTTAATATGTAATTTTTATTTTTTAATTCTATACCATTTGTCATATAAAATGGTTTGAAAATAATTTCAGTCAAATATCGTAAACCGAAACAGGCGTTATAAAATGGGACGGAGGTAGTAATAAAGTCTAAACTGTATTTTGAATTATCTTAAAAATGAAAATATAAATTTTATTTTGGGATGAAAAGAGCACGTAAAGAGAAATAATACTCCCTCATAGGCCAAATAAACTTCTCGTTGCGTGTTACGGTGCTTGACTAAAGTTATTTTCAAATCATTTTGTATAAAAATGGTGTAAAATTTGAAAATAAAAATTACATATTAAAAAACTATATCAAAAGATTTACAAAACTAGAGGTGATATGACTATATTATTTTATCAAATGAGTGAAGAAAATAGGCCAACAAAGTGAATAAAATTTGACCCTATGAATAGTGAACGGAAAGTTTATTTGTGGACGGAGGGAGTAGTTCGTAATAATTTTATATAAGCATGCAAGAGATAGATTATTCGCTATGTGTAAGAATAAAGGAGAGATGCTTTTGGAGTAGCTTTGGATGGTGGGAAAAAAGAGAATAAAAAAAATAACATTAAAAAATAAAAGAGAATAAAGGATTTAATTCCATTGTACCGACTACCGAGTATGGTCTAGCCGTCTAGCTCACATTTATGGTTTGTTTGGATAGAGAAAGAAAATGAAAGAATGATTATTTTCCCTTAATTTCATACAATGATTCCACCTCCCTTTATATACAAGGGAAGGGGTTACAATAAGGAAACAGTCATGAATGAGAATCCTATACAAATAAGGAATGTACTATAATTGGTACAAGGAATATTCTTAACATGTATAATAAAATATGCTTAACATATTTAACATGCTACCGACTTCGTTGGGGATCTCCGAATCCCAAGGTTGTGTCGGAATTCCGCGAAGATGACAGAAGGTAGCCCTTTAGTAAAGATATCGGCGAACTGGGAGGAAGAGGGGACATGGAGGACTCGAACTTGCCCCAGTGCCACTTTGTCTCTTACGAAATGAATGTCAACTTCCACATGCTTGGTGCGCTGATGCTGCACTGGGTTGGAGGATAAGTAAACAGCGCTGATGTTGTCACAGAAAACAATGGTGGCCCGACGAAGGGGTTGGTGAAGTTCAAGTAGAAGATTTCGGATCCAACTGGTTTCAGCAACTGCATTTGCTACGGCTCGGTACTCGGCCTCTGCACTGGATCTGGAGGTCGTGCCTTGTCGTTTAGAGGACCATGAGACGAGGTTATCTCCGAGAAAAACACAGTAGCCAGATGTGGAACGTCGTGTGTCGGGACAACCAGCCCAGTCAGCATCGGAGTATGCCTGAAGGAAATCTGAGGAGCCACGGGATAGTGTGATTCCGTGGGTAGAGGTGCCCTGCAAGTAACGTAGAACCCGTTTTAACGCAGTAAGATGAGGCGTCCGAGGAGCATGGAGGTAGAGACATAGCTGCTGAACCGCATATGTGAGATCGGGTCGAGTGAAAGTGAGATACTGAAGAGCACCAACAAGAGATCGATAGAGAGATGGGTCTCGAACTGGGTCACCATCTGTGGCGGACAGTTTCCCTTTGGTGTCTACAGGTGTGGAGATGGGCTTACTGTGAATCATGCCTGCTCTGTCCAGAATTTCGTGGGCAAACTGAGTCTGGTGCAGGAATAGTCCCTGTTTGGTGCGTTGAACATTGATGCCGAGGAAAAAATTAAGTTCCCCCATATCTGTCATGGCAAATTCACCTTTTAAGCGCTCTGTGATCTGTGATAGTAGCACCGCCATCGAGGCAGTGAGCACAATGTCATCAACATAGATGAGCAAGTATGCCATGTGTGTGCCACGTGTGTAGACAAAAAGTGAAGTATCAGTCTTGCAGCCTTGAAACCCGATGTGACATAAGAAACCAGCAAACCGTTGATACCAAGAACGAGGTGCCTGTTTTAAGCCATACAGGGCCTTCTTTAGTCTGCAAACATAATGTGGGCGTGATGGATCCTCGAACCCAGAAGGCTGACTGGCATAGACAGTTTCCTGAAGGTGACCATGGAGGAAAGCATTCTTGACATCCAGCTGGTGTATGGGCCATCCCCAAGCGAGGGCCAAACTGAGGACAATCCGGATGGTGGCCGGTTTAATGACCGGACTAAACGTGTCACTGTAGTCAATGCCGAAGCGCTGGTTGAACCCTCGGACTACCCAACGCGCTTTGTACCTGGACAGATCACCTGTGGGGCCAAATTTGTGTCTAAAAAGCCATTTGCCAGTGATAACATTTTGAGTGGGGGAGGGGGGGTACTAATTCCCATGTATTATTCTTTATTAAAGCATTAAATTCATCACACATTGCATCATGCCAGTTAGGATCTTTCAGTGCAGTACGGTAGGTGGGGGGAAGTGGTGAGATATGAGCTGTAGTGTTGAGGTTTAGGATTGTTTTGGGGCAGTGGATGCCAGATTTGGCGCGGGTGGTCATTGGGTGCGTATTTGTGGAGGTAGGGGGCTCGGGTTGGGCTTGCGTATGGGGCTGTGAGGTGGGCTGGGCCGTGGAAAGGGTGTGG